ATTATTAATTAAAATTTTCTCAAAACTTGTAATGAAAAGTGTTTGTAACAGTCTTATATTAGTATCATTGACATAATAGTATAGTTTTTGTTAATATTTTCAATTAATTTTAATTTGATATTCTATTTTCATTTGAATTAATGTAAGGGAAACAGTTTAATTTAGCACAAAGGGAATCATTTAAGATTTTAAAGGGAATTTGGACAGAATCACTGTTTTACGGTTGATCACTGAGACGGCCAACATCAATTCTGCAATGGATATTTATATCCAAAATATAGTGAAAACACTATTAATTAGTACAGTAACAGGATCGGCAGTTTAAGACATTAACTTGTAAGCACGAAACACAAGATACTTCTCTTTTCAATATAAATAAAGGCTTTATTGGATAAATCTAAGACATATAAACTAATCTAACACATAAACACACGCATTCACACAAGTTGCAGAAACGAAAAGCTAAAAGCCACATGGCTAAAAAGCATATAACTAAAAAGCATGACTAAAAGCGAAAAGCTAGACACAAAAAGCAAAGTTTGATGGTGTCCTGAGTATTTAAACTGGGCTTTTGGACACCTCCCAAATGGTGTTTTGACCAATTATATGTTGTATTTTTCTCCTCCCCATTCATAAATCAAATGTTATCTTATCAGTCACATGGTCCGCGTTTTTCCCGCTCTTGCAGAGTATAATTTTGGACATGATTTCTATAACAAGAATATGATACATTTGACAAAGAATTGATTGGAAGAAACGTTTCAAGCAAGAAGATTCAAACACACACATACTAAACATGAATAGGAACCCTTAAGCTATTCAATAGTTACTAAAAAAGACATACACAATAACTGATTAACATGATAGTCTGATGTATGGGTTGCTTCAGACTGGCTAGTGCTAGGGTCTGATTTATGAACATCCTGTGCTTTGGGCCTCTGTGGAATTTGGCTCCTCATGTTTCAATTATGTTTTGACCAAATCTTAGATTGTCTGATTCGGTCTGATATCCTACATTAATATTTTAAGTTAATATTTATTTTAATAATGAAATTAAATTTATTTGAGTAATGACATTTTTTATGGTTTTAGTTTTTGTTTGTTAACAATAAAAACCCTGATTTGGAGTGATTTTATGATAAATAATGACAGAAATTAATTTTTTTACATTTAAATTTCATGTGACTTTTAGACAGTTCATCGATATATGATGAAAATATATTTAAAATCCATAAAATCTCTCTTCATGCTAAATTTATAATTAGTGTGTCCTCACAACCCCCTCAGAAATGAGTCCGCGTCTGCACCACACCTTAAGAAATATATTTGCATTACCAGATAAGGATTATTATCATTCCAAATCAGCATGCTCTTCAGTGGTCTTACTCCAGTGAACAGCCAAACATTCTAATTTGAATGAATCCATCAGGTCAGCGTGGCTCTCAGCTGCACGTTTGATTTCACACTGGTCAATTGGGAAAGTGAATTAAAGTGCGTGTTCTAATTGGCCGTCGATGCCCAGAGGAGCCAATATATTCACGCTAGCAGAGGCGCATACACTCAGTTCAAGCGCTCTCAATCAAGCTGGGTACTCCCATTGTTTGATTTCCATTACGCCGATGGTTCAGATTGCTATTTGAATGTATAAATCACAGCTATCTCTGCAGGGCAGCTCTGAGTCGCTCATGCATGCTCAACAAGCTCCGTCTCAATCCAGTGTCAATACCGCAGTGCTGTGGCTATGTTCAATTTAGCATAACAATAGTGAACACCTGAGATCAGAAGAACGAGGAAGAATAAAAGTTTGAGTACCTGGGAAGAAGGAGGTGAAGAAACTTAATGATGGGGTGGAATAGAGCTATGGGGGGTCTGGTGCAAGAGATTTGGAGGTCAGGACTATGCAATATTTAGAATTCTGTTTTTCAGCCTGTCTTTCAGTCTGCCCATCTATTGAATTTGAATCAATCTATCTGTCTGTATGTCTGTGAACAGACATGAGACATGAAAATATAATGAAAATCATTACTGAAATATCATGTAATTAAGGAAAGTGAGGTGTTAATGAGATGAACAGTTTACCGAGGGAGTATAAAATGTTTTGAGTGGAAGATGAATTAGAAAAGAATAGTGGATTAGATGGCGAACCTGTCTAGTGTTCTGTAGTAGCCATAAAGTTTGGGCCGCTGCTGCCAAGCACTGAACTAATTACCAGCATGATATCTCAGGAGTAACGGATTCATTAACAGGTTCCCTTAGTCGGAAGATATTACTTTCCTCTATCTCAGACCAGGGAGAGGTCCAGTCCCAAACCACACGTCTGCTCTCTGTCAGACAGTACAGAAGAGGAAGGATTTTGTTTCTGTTTCGTACTCTTTGTCTATGTCTAGCATTTTGTACCTAGTATAATTAGAAGAGTATTGATGACCATGATGTTTCAGAAGTTAAAGGGGTCATATGATGTTATTTTAAAGATCATTATTTGGTGTAACAGAATATGTTGGCATGCTTTAATGTTCAAAAAACACATTATTTTTCAAATACTGTACATTATTGTAGGTTCTCTATGCCCCGCCTCTCTCAAACACGTCGTTTTCAACAAAGCCCCCTCCTTTGACAAGCGCACTCTGCTCTGATTGGCCAGTTGACCCAGTGCATTGTGATTGGCCGAACACCACAAGCACGCGTCGGAAATGTAACGCCCATTACCATAATCGCTTCAGCTTTCAAAGTAAATATCAAGACAGTTAATAATGTCGTTAGTTTTACCATCAGTTCAAGCCCGAAAGGGCAACAGAGTCGCGTGACAGACACAGTGATGATGCAGTACACAAGCCGCGGTTAAGACAGCTGACGTGCTATGATTTCTGACAGGCAGTTCACTCTCCTGTGATGTGACCCTGTTCCCCTCACACACACACACAACGCGTTACTCTGCGCTGCGCAAAACTCCCCATTTGAACAGTCAATAGCAAATACTTCAACTAATAACAAAACATACTTACAGTCGCTGATTCAGAAGCGCCAGATTGTCATAGCAAAGTCAGAATTTACCCATTTATTTATTTTTTTTAAATAGCCTTTGTGCACAGCCAGCCTTGTACTCTTCTAGGTTAAAAAAACTGTTGTCCATAAAATGCATTGCACAAATTCAAACATCTGGGTTGTGCTGTTCTGTTGTAAATAAATCTTAACCAATGATTCCTAATTGCATCTACTTCCGGAAGGCCAAATAAAGTGCTTTTGCTTTCGCACTGAATCACACAGCGTTTCCATGACATGGCTGCATCAACACTACTGCTGTTCCTGAAACCACGCCTTCTTTCTTTGCGCGCACATTTGGGCGGCATTATGCTAATATTTCCACATAGTGACGTAGATATGTGGGGGCGTGTTAGAATGAGGCATTTTAGGTAGGCGTGGTTGACTCTTAACTTTTATAAAGAATATCTCTTTGGATTTGAGACTTTAGTCTTTGCAACTTTACAGATCTTCTTTATGCACCAAGAGCTTGTAACACTCCAAAGAGAAAGGAAAACTTGAAACGTGTGTTTTGGGCATAACGTGCAATAAACCAATCAGAGTCTCATCTCCCATTCCCTTTAAGAGCCAGTTGGGCTCGTGCCATGGCGGACTTGCTATTTACACGGGGGAATTTGCAAGCGCAAAGATGAAATGGAGCTGCTCATGCGCGAGCAAATAGGTAGCCTAATTCTGATACATGCAATGACTATCCATTATGACATGTAGGCATTTTTATATTTATGTAGCCTGCACAATAGTGATCTTTTACATTGCAATCCTTTAATTTGTAATATTTGGCATGTTTGTGTGCTGCTGTGCCGTCCCTGTGTGTGTAATAAGCAAGAGTGGACCCGCCTATACTAACCTGCTCTTTAAATAACAAAAAAACTACTGCGCAATTGACTTTAGACCAAGTTTTTGTTGGTCAATGGTGCAGTCTATTTTCAGTTCCTCTTAATAGCAACATGCCAGCAATGTACCTGAACACACCTCGTTTTCAGATCAGCATGCCCATGGGCGCACAAATGGGCGCAAATGCATTTGCTATTTAAACAACGCAGCGCAGGACGTGAAAATGACAACTGCGTCGTGCTGAAACTAGCACAAAAAAACACTTGCGTCGCGCCAATTAAAGTCGGCATGAAATGAAAACGGACTCTTTCTGTTTTGTAAATGCATGTTATAGATCTTATACTGAACAATTCATAATATTTTTTTTTCATATATATTAATTGTTTGACCTCATAATGTTCAATTATAATGTCATAACTCAATCTTCTCTCTCAGACTTCTTTATGGTGCCATATGCCTGACTTACATTAAATAATGAGGATTGTGTGTGTTTTCAGAATTAAATTAAGAATGCCTTTAAATTACAATTTAGATCATGAGCAAAAGGGTGCATGATTGCACTACAAAATTGAAATGCAATGAAGTTGAATTGCTCAATTAATTAATGTTTAAAAAATTGTCTAGAAAAGCAAATCCTTGACGTTTGAAGGTTTACAGGCCTTACAGACCGTTAGATAGATCTATAATAATGTTATTAAAATCTTGAATTCTAGAATCCTCTTATTGATGTGCAAATTTTGGCATAAGCTGTCATGCCGGCCAGCCCTAATTTTCTAAGATAGGAATGATCAGATGAATTCTTATAAATCCTTAGCTGACGATAGGGACGTTCCCCCTGGAGCGGAGGTTAAGTGCCCTGCTCTAGGGCAGAATGGTGATTAGGGAACTCAATGACTCTACACTTCACTGATGCCTCTGAGGATTTTGACCTACAACCTTTGAGTTTGGGCTCAGATATTTAACCACTTTACAATCATGACCCTCCAATTATTAAAATATCTAAATGCTAAAAAGTCAAGTGTAATGATGGTACAGACTCTTCTGTTTAATATGTTAGTATTCAGTGCAAACAGAAACATATTTCCACCCTTTTGCCTCAAAATTCCTTTTATTATTCTGTTCATCAGGTAACACCAACAGCGTGTTTGCTCTTGACTACATCAGCGGATCCCTGAAAGTGAGTGGACAGCTGGACCGGGAAAACCCCTTGTACTCATCCGGATTCACCATCACAGTAAAGGTGAGACTCAAACCTAGATGTGGAGGTTTTCAAGACGATTCATTAAAAAGTGTTTTTGAGCTGTAAAATGGTTTCTAGGGTTGGAAGTAAATTTTTGAGAACCACTCATATTTTATGATGCATAGTTCCATTAGCTGTTCTTTAACAGAAGGTTATTTGGAAAAGGGTTTTTGTTCTAATTAACGGTGCTGAAGTAAAAATAAAAAAAACACTAAGAATACAGTAGTTCCCTTTCAGTCAGTCACGTTCTACGTTATGTCAGTTGTGACTGACGAATTGGGATCTCGCCCGAGAGCCCAATCACCTTCGAGTGTAAACTAAACAAGCCAATGACAGTTGGCGTGCATGTTTCGCCATGCGTACCCCGCCCCGCAGCGTGGGTATAAAAGGAGAGTGCGTGCAAACGCACATCAGCTTTTCGCTTCG